CAATAGTTAATGTTGAATGTTTTTTTGTGTGGCATAAAAATAGGCAACTTCAGCTATAATTAAAAATGCTAATTGTTTTGGCAATGATCAGCAGAAATTAGACTATATTTTAGCCAACATTTGGCACTTTAAAAAAGTGATGAAATGGATTATTTCAACTAGTGTTAAAAAAAAACTCTTTCTCCTTGTTGGATTTTTTCCAAGAATTTTTATTTTAAAAAAGTGTTCATTTAATGGCGGCTGCGGCTTAGCTTGTGAACAAAACAAAAAATCCCACCTTTCAAAAATATTTCCCTTTTTATTCCCCACACCTCTCTTCACATAAAAATTTTCGAAATAGTTTAACCTGTGTTGTTTTTTGTTAAAATATTTTTTCTTCACCTTTTTTCGAAAAATTTTTTCTGTTTTTTTCTTTTTTTTTTTGCTTACAAAAAGTGGGCATCAAGAGGTATTTGAACTAACGATCATGATCGACATACTTTGGATAAACAAATCTCACGTGATGATTCCCTTTCCCTATCTAAATAATACACTCTCTTTTGATTAGCCTCTGCTTTTCTGCAGATACTCTGTCGTCGAAGGTCACATGCAAATTTAGCATTATTCTACTTTGGTATCTCCGGACGTCATCTATTTGGAGTGATGGTAACTACCACTTGATCTGGTATTTTTGTTGGCTCAAATGGGTTTTAAATAGAGCAACGGAGAGCCTTTGTTATTAAGATTCTTACTCAGTGTAAGTTCGCTTCATCTAGATCTATGCCTCTCTGGTAACTAAGTAAAGGGTATAGGTTACTATCCATAGATGTCTTGTAGATTTTCATAGTGGATTCCATGTGATATTTTTTCTGTACTTATGAATCTATAAGTATGAAGAGCCTCTGTTTGGACCTTTCTTCGGATGCATCCTCTTTGGTCAGGTGGTTATTATATCCAGAATTAACTGGACAATTAGGTTTTTTATAGAATCATGTTTAGTTGTTTATAAATTTATATTTGTGCCAATTCCCTATTTCAAGTGTTGTTTTTAGTATTAGAATTTTCTTTTGAGGGAAGTTAGGGTTCAACGGACATTTAGAAATTAGATGCTTTCTGACACTTTATTTCCACCCTTTCAGGAAGTGGCGGTGATCAGTCAACTTAAACGAGTTTGAAATAGAATCACGGGAGGTAAGTTGCGTATTTTAGTATTTTTTTAGATTCTTGTCTTTAAATTTTCAATACAAAATAAAGTACTGCAGCTAGACTGCATCGTTAATAATTAAAAAAAATCTTCATCAGCAATAAAGACCTTAGCTAGTGCAGGCTTGACGGTAAGATGTGAAACCATTGTGAGACAGAAAACTTGACATATATAAGCTCATACGATAACGGTGAGAAAATTCTTATCAAAAAATGTAAGTATCAAACGTTTCTTGTATTGTTGTTTTTTTTAATTGATAATTAACCAAACTATACATATAATTTTAACCGATCGAAAACTTGGTTGTTCTCAATGTGAATGACTTTCACAACATTCATGAATATCATCATAGTGACACAACGACTACCCATGAAGTCTCTCATTTTATTACAATACTCTTGAAAGCCCTACCAGAAATGCTATATATTCTGTTTAATAATTCTAACCAAGAAAAAAGCATTCATAATGAAAGGGGTGTTGATTCAGACATTGTTATAGAGAATGCTCATTCATCTTTCTTTTCTTATTTATGGCTTAGTTATGTAAGACGAAAGCAAACATTTGCTGAATTAGTATCTATACCAGAAACCCATTACGAATGAGTCAAACGTTTCTTAATTCACAGTTATGATGATAGGATTGAACAATGCCAGACTGATCAAAGCATGGAAAATATGAAACTTGTTGATTTAAAAGAAGGGTTTCTTTATTCGACCGAAGATTATATAAAAGCTTTTAGATGCTTGATGAATGTACCTGAAGTAGAAACTTATATAAAGAAACGAGTATTGGTAGCATCTATAGATTATCCTAGACAGCTTCATATGCGGTGTGCTATCACCTATCGCATCAAATCTGGAGATACTTCTGGAATACTGGAGCAAATTCTGCATATAATTCTAATGATCAGACTTTTACATGTATCCTTAAATAGTCGTGAGACAGTCTTTCTTTTAAATTATCATTTTTTTGAATTGCTCTTTTATGGGGTGTTTGGACATAATAAGGTGTTGGCAAAAAAGCCAAAACCTTATAAAATCAATTTGATATTAGAACTAATGTCCCAAGGTTGGTCTTGAGTGTGTTCTACAATTATGCAGAAATTTGAACGTTTCAAGGATCTGAAAGCAAGATATTTTATTAATTTATTGGATAATATTGTCCCGTTGGTTTTAGATTTTTATCCCATCATATTTCATGGTGAAGATTGGCATAAAAGCGATGTTTTACATTTGGATTGTCTTTTATCAGTATCAACGCAGACACTATAACAAATTGTCATTGATGTTTTTAAGTGATGTTTTTTATTAGACTAAAACTAATCATCCTATTTTAAAATCTCTTACAGATTCTATTCATGTTTTTAATGATTATTTTGTGGAAAATTTTCATAGCTTACTTCGATGGCAAATACAGAAATCGAATACGGTAGAACAAATTATTTGAGAAGCACGAATAATCGATCAGATGTGTGATGCTAATTCTTTCATGAATGTATTTGCTGAGAAGCATAATATTAGATATTCAGCAAAACAGCTAGAATATCTTGAGAAGTGTACTGCAATTTTTCTTTTGAATTTGTTCACAGATGTCTATCGAAATCTTGGTCAGTCAAAAGTTATTTTGTCTAACGTACGTTTGAAACCTAAAATATATGAGCTTCCAATACTTGGAGCTCAAGTTGATGTAAAAATATTGTCAATGGCTTGGAATACATTACGTTTTTCACAAAAAGATAGATTCTGTGACTTAGAAGACTGCATGGATTCTTGTGAGGTAGGTTGTGTTCTGATTTGTGAACATACTTATCATTTCAAGTGTTTTTTATTTAAACTAGGAAGTCAATGCTGATATTGTATCGAGTATCTTATAAGTGGAATTGAAACAAATTGTAAAGCTTTTCAAAAATCTTTGAATTCATCGAGTATACGAGCAATAGATGAGAATATAGACGAAATGGATATTGCTGAACCTAGTGATGATCCTAATACTTGTGATGAAGACTTTTTATTAGATAGAAATATATATCATGATAATGTGGATTTGCTTTTTGAAAGGGTCATAAATGCTTTAACAAGTGCATAATTTACAATTTGAGGATTTTATTATTACAAAATTCAATAAAATCAAGATATTTTATAAATAAATAATAAAAGTCAATTTATTGAAATTTTTTTTATTAAATATCTTTTTATTTGGGTTAAATCATGTTTAATTTGTTCTTTAATTAACTATCCTTTGATTAACTATCGTTTGATTAACTATCATTTGATTAATTATTTCATTATTAAATCACGTGATTTAATCAACCAATAAAATTTCAGCAATGATAAAAATTGATCTGCAAAAATTAGCCAATCACAACGAAAGCCCGCTATGTTGTGCTATGGTTATAATGAAACAAAGACATGACTGCGTCTCAATTTTTAGATAGTTACTGCAAGTAATGATTATGTTAATTTTCTTTGTATTAATTCGTTCTTTATTTAATTTCAATTAACTGATCCAGACAGATTGATTAATTAGTTAGAAAATGTATATAAGAGATGACAAAAGAAAGAACACGAAAAATTGTAATAAATAAAATTTTTGTTTCTTTTTGAAAGATTTTGAATTTTTTATTTTAAATATTAGATATGACTTTTATCGGGATGGATATTTACTTAATTTAGAAACATAGTGTAACTATCTCATGATATGAGGAGCGGGACACCGGACTAATTAAAGTATGGTATGACAGATTGTTATATAATCACATGACCCGAGCTTTTTTATGATAGGGAAGATTGAAATGTGTAAAGGTTTCGACTATTTATTCGATACAAACTACCAAACTATCAAACTATCAAATATGTTCTCGTGACCAACTGAAAATACCGGACCGGCAAACCGGCGGTCAATTTATTTTGTCTTATGAAACAGCAGTAAAGAAATCTTTAACCAGTTAAAAAGATAACCTTCTAAAAAGGTTAATTAACGGTTCCAACCTCTAGAAATAAAGAAAACCTTCAATACGTTTAGACAAGTTTTTTTTCCTTAAAGATATTAAAAATTTGATAAATTTGTTATTTCACCTGGGTCAAATTTTTTAATTTTTTTTAATATACAGTGTATTTTTTTAATTTATACTAGATATATTTTTTTCTGAGGGGGTATCAGTATTGAATTTTATTGTAAAACACTGTAGCCGGTCCATTTAAGTTTAATCCTTTATACAATGAATAACGATACCTCAAATGTCATTTATTCATGTTGATATTTTAGTTCTTTTTTTTTTTCAAAAAAAAAATTGTTTCGTAATTATAGTGAACATTGTGATTCTATACTTTGTATTAGATTTTCCCTCTCAAAATAAATTTCAAAGAAACGAGTTTATGGTTAGAAACGATTTCTATTGAGAAAAGATCTTATGGTTCTAACTTAAACTGCAACTATTATCGATAAATCTAGATACAAAAACAACCAATTATTATTTTAATAATATCAAAGAATAAAATGAATACAATTATTCATATTGCGATTGCACGTTACTCACTAACCCTAAATAAAATTCAAATAGAAAGCATTTTTTAACTTATTTTTTAAACGATTCAATAACTATTCAAAGATAAAAGGTAAATAAGATGGAACCCTAATTTATCGAATTTAACGTCATTTTTAGATATCGAATTTGATTACTGCGCCACACTACACGTCGTGAATAGTAAAGTGTTTTTTGTTGTTTGATTGAAAAATATATATATTTAATATGTACGACCAATAAACATTTAACGCAAATGCAAAGCGTCATCGATACATGTGATTTATTATAAACATTATGTCATCCGATAAAGATATAAAGGCTTTTTTTCCTTCAATTTTATCCTTGATACTTGATAAGATGTTCTCACGAGGGCAAAGAGGAAGCGATTATAAAAAACGAGGCAGAGCTAGGCAAATTGAAACTTATCGATCTTGGAATGTTGAATCACTTGGGATGCCCCCCAACGTAGATGATTCGGCCCAATATCGTCCTTGGAATGCAGCTGCGCTTTCTGTTGAAAGTGAATCATCAATGGATATTGACGAAAAACAACCATACGATGATACCCAACGTCCTACTTTAATTGAAATAGATGAAACTCCCTCTTCAGTAAGTAGCATAACTTTTTTCCTAAAGTCTTCATATTCATGTTTCTCATAAAATTTTCGATCGTACTTGATCAACAAGTTTAAGAATTTTTTAATTAAACTTTTTTATTTCGCTATAAAAATTATTCGTAAAAATAGTAAAAATAAATTATAATAAATAATATTCTTGGTTAACTGAGTAGAGTTTTATATTTTAGCCTGTTAACCTCCCAAAACTCGCGAATCAAGATAATCATCAAAGTTCTCAAAATCAGAATAGTATACAATCTAACATGATGGAAGAATTGAAACAGCTTAATTGGGAAGATTATACTAAGCAATTGATGCAAGAGGAGGCTAAGCGTTCAATGGAAATTCGACGTCAAAAGCAAAATGTAAATACTTGTCAGAAAATTCTTAGCAATCCGTTTAACAGTATTAATAATAATCAATTATCATTGTAGAAGAATACTTTTGATAAAACGATATTGGATGAATTTGACTCGTTTCAATAGCTAATCATATTCCTTATTTTTTTTAAAGCTGTTAAATGAAATAAAATTGTCATTTTTACACGTGTCACTATTACATATTTAGCAATTGTAATTTGGTGTTACGTGTAACCCTTTTTAAAAAGTCGATTTTTTTTTAAAACATTTTATTCGATTTCCTATTTATTAAATTAAAACATAAAAGAAATGTCACGAATGAGAGATAATATTCGAATCAGAGATAATGTTGAATCTGAAGAAGATCTTTTAATGCTTCAAGAAGACTTTTTAGCAAATAAACCAATAGTTGCTGCAACTTTGATCAGACAAAGTAAACCACCTACTGTCATATCATCCTCATCGTTTAATCATTTAGAGAATAATGTTGATGTGGGAGAAACTCAAAGGGATCTTGTTACTTTGGATGATCAATTAACGAAATCATCCTATGAAAAAACATCATCAACATCATCAAGATCTGTCAAAATAGAAACGAAAAGCAAAAAAAAAAAATCACTCTTTTCTACTAAACGTCAAAAGTCAAATGAAAGTGGTGATATTAAGTCTCAAAGATTTAATATTAATTTAGATCAAGAAATGGAAGGTACCTCTGAACAAGCTGAGGAGCATGTGCCCGCAATAAAAAAAGTTTTAGATATGCATTCTTATCAAACAGGAATCGTGGGAGCTGTGACCGAGAAATCTGTTAACGAACCTGTATTACCACCTAGTGTTCCCCATAATGATAGTAATTTAACAAATGGTGGATTTCCTAAGCCTGTTCATCGAAGTTTATTTATTCGGAGAAAACAAGTTCTGAGTGATGTGTCAAGACCAAACCTAGATAATATACAACATCAACAAAATAATGATAATGATAATGGAACAAAAGATACTTGTACATCATCAAACGTTTCATCATCCTTATTAAATACGTTGAACAAAGATACTAAGATATTTAATTCTGATTATTTGGAAATTGACCGTGAAAATACTCAAAAAATTTCTAATATGTCTGAAGAAGAAATAATACAAACTATTGAAATGTTGCGTCAAACTTTAGGTCCTAAACTTATTGAAAAACTTTTAAAGAGTAAACCTTTGGTGGATAAGATATCCGGGGAGTCTCCTGAGGAGTCAAAAAAAAAAGATATGTGTGTTCATATTGAAGAAACAATGGAAAATAAGGAGACGCTACCTGCAGATTTTGTTGATGATGAAAATGATGATTCTTTTCCACGTAAAATGAAAGAAAAATATTTCCCCAATGTATCAATCGAACCTGAAAAAATTGAATGGATGGGTATTGAATTTGAAAAGGATAAACCGTTAAAGAACAATGGTCAAATCCTTAGAGATTCCGTTATTCCTAAATCATCAGATCCACCTGCTGCATTTTATAGATTTGATTTTCATGGAAATATTTTAGAGAAGGATGCAGATATCCCTACATATATGGGTCTTCATCATCACGGTGATAATCCGGATCAAGCTGGGTATACATTGAGTGAATTATTTCATTTGTCAAGAAGTAGAGTTCCAAGTCAAAGAATCATCCCTTTAAACGTTATTGGTAGAATTATGAGAAAAGTTAGGAAAGGACATTATGGAATTGAGAAAGATAAAGGAATTGCCGAATGGATGATTAAGATGAAATTGCCTATATATTTGAGAACCGCTTTAGATGACACATCAGAATCAGTTATCGTGGCTGCTGTTGATGCAATATCTGCTTTGATCATCGGTGGGTCAGATGGTTTAGATGGTGAAGAAGAAAACTGGGATCGTTTTGGAGGGTTATATCGAGGATATGAGGCTGTCGCTCTTCGGGAAGATACGGGCATCAAGGTTAAAAGACATTTTGGAATAGATATCGCTTTACAAAATGAGAACGAAGAGGATATGGATACGACTGATTATCACGTTGAGCTTGCGTCAAGAGATTTAATAGCGGGCTTAATTTCAATGGATATCTTGTTTCGATTTCGATATATTTTGGAAAAATTAAGATTGCCATACAATACAAACGAACAAATCATTTTGATGCTTGTTCGCATTGCACGTCATTCTCGTAAAATTGCAAAGTCCATATTCGAATGTCCTCAGCTTGTCGATGTTATACATAAAAGGTTCTTATGTATAGCTTGGCCCATTGTATATAATAATCAGGAAGTTGCACTATCGACACAATTTCCAAGTTTACCGGCCGTAAAACTTTTCCGTTTGTTATGCCAGTCGTCTGAAAATATCAGCCAAAGTGTCGTCCAGAATTATATGGAGACATTTTTAAGATACATTGTAGTAAATCCTTCAACGATATCGAATGAATTTGAGATGAATCTTGGTTACAAGATTTTGCAAGAAACTCTGAGAATTTATCAAACTCTAGCAGCATATGGGCTTTATCATGGAATTCACTCTCAAGCATATTCAGTTTTTTGTGGATATTTATCCAAGGAAATAATATTTTCTCTTCCTCCTTCATGGCAATGGAAAGGTGATAACATATATCAAATGAGAAATAAGCTTGATATTGCAATAACATTTTTCAGACTTTTAGAAATTTGGATTCGAGTTCCTAAAAAAGATTCTGATATAGATGGTGAATCGGGAGCTCAACCTAGCGAATTTGTTAACGACTCGGTTGAACTATTGGATAAATGGGTTAACTCGTTTCCATATGAAAGGTGCGATAAGGTTGACTATTCTGAAGAATTTGAAAAAGCTTTGCTTTTGATTTCAAGTATTGCAAGATATATTTCATCTTGGTATCAATATTTAAGTGGATATCCTTTAAAGGTTAACAATCAAATCAAGAGCATTTGGGAAAGGTTCCAACTGGGTTCGTGGCAATTTTCAAAAATTTGTCAATATCTGTCGAATCGTCTACCAGTCTGTTTGAACGATTATTATCTTTCCAAGAATGATAGTTGGCAATTACCCAATTTACCTGGTGCTTATTATCCTGGTACATTCGAACAAGCTTCAAAGTCTGTAACGATATCAGTATTATATGATTTATATTCATCTTACATATCTTTGATCCATCGAATAAGCAACTTTTTTTCAAACGACAAGGAATTTTCTGCAAATTCATTGGACGTGATTACTGCATTTGTTCCTATAGATCTCGTTCAAAAGCATGTCATTAAGGTTCCACCTAAAGGAAATTGGGATGATTTCTTTGTAAGGACGCGTACTTATTTGTTGTATGAGTGGTGGTGTGCCATCAACACGTTTATTGACAATGATGAATTCAGATCAAAATATTCAAAGAAATTATTGCAGGCAGCATTAATCATAATGCCAAATTTATTACCCGGAGACGAAAAGATTAGTTTAGATATCCTTAATAAAATATTTGATGGAATAGCTGTTTTATCATCAGATTCCAAGAGAGCCGAACAAATCAAAAAATCGCTTAGATCATTTTATAAGAATCACATTACTTCAAGGAATGATAAAGAGGAAATATATACATTTTCAGGGCAACAAGAAGAAGATCTTAGTTTATTGTGGGATTTGACAAAACATGATCGTCATGGGGGATTACCTTTTTCAAGAGCATGGTTATGGATTCCAATCGATATATTATATAGCAAGAGATCGGATGTTGTAATGGATGAAGAAGTTAGAAACGAAGTTGTAAGAGATTGCTTAGTATTTGCATGGGAAATTATGCAAATATGTCAAGATATCACGGATCCAAATACGAGATATTTGATGAATCCTGCAATCGTCGTATTGTCTATTATGAAGATTTTCTTATTGGAAGGGGAATTATATAGGGATTCTAATATTGGAAGGTGGATTGATGAAATTTTCTCACAATACACCTTTGGATTTAGATCGAAAGGGGAGCAAGCTCTTAGGGATCATGAAACCTTTAATTCATCCGAAGTTGATTACTCACTTGAAGTTGCGGCTAAAGATGTCTTAACAAAACCATTTTATACATTTTTCACGGATTTTTCAGCTGCATATGCAGCCGAATCATTTGGACAAAAATCCTTTGCACAATGTGTAATCGTGCCATTATCAAATATTTATCCTTTGGATTTTAAATTACTGGTGTGGAGTGATCTATTTGAAACTTTAAGTACAATTAACATCGAATATGAAGAAGTATTGTGTTTAAATTATTCATTTAATGAAGGATTGAAAAGTTATTTTTGGCCTTTGGAAGATAATAAAGCATTGCTACAAACTTTTGTAAATAGTATTATACATAATAAGCTTACACGTGAAAGAACTTCGTTCTTATATTGGGTTGTTATACATCATTTGAATGGATTTGTATTTTGGACGACGAATTTAGAACAAGTAAACAGGCAAATAGGGAATCAGGAAGAAAGTAAAACAATTGGTAAATTTCAAATGAGAATTGATATCGCAAAGGCGATTGTTAAAGGAGCAAGGTCTGATGCAATAAAAGATTGGGTAAAATACACCGGAAAGAATTTTGGAGAGGATGTAAAGGAATTAGTGAGGATTCCTCAATGTTTTGAAGAAATAGATTCGAAATTACAGGATAGATTAGATTGGTTGAAAAGCGTAAATATTGATATCGAAAAAAATTTAATTTAAATTATATTACACAATTTGTTAAAGGTCGATCCTCTCAAGTCACGAGACAGCAAAAAATCAAGTAACGTGATTATCTTTTTCAAAAAAAAAAGAAATGTCGGACATTATTTTTTTATTTTAAAAGTAATATTGTTATAATAATGAATAATAAAAAAATAGATTAAAGAATAAAATAAATATGAAGAGAGAAGGGTGAGAAAATACAATTCTATGGTAGTAAAAATAGGAAGGCGGAAAATTGATCATGCATTTTTTAAAGGTGGGAGGTTTTAAGGACAAAGTGGTTGAATTATATATTTCTTTCACTACGATATAATTGTTTCCGATATGATTGAGATTTAATAATTTATCCAAATAACATCCTAAGAAACAGATACCAAACGCAA